CCTTGTTGCTTTATCCCATCTCTGAAACATTCTGTCCCTATCTACCTTGTCAATTCCTCTCAGTATTTTGTATGTCGTTATCGTGTCTCCTCCTATCTCCTTGTACTCCAGTGTCGTCAGGTCGATTTCACTTTACCTCACCTCGTAGGACATACCCCTTAACTCCTGGAGTAGTCTTGTTGCAAACCTTTGCACTTTCTCTAATTTCTTGACGTGTTGCCAAGGTGTGGGTTCCATACTGGTGCTGCTTATCCCAATATGGAGCTTACGTACACGATGTATAGTCTTGAACGATTCCTTGCTAAGGTGTCGAAACGCTATTCTTTGGTTTGCCAGGCGCCCATATTCTGAAGCAGTTGTCTGGTTGATGTGCGCATGAGATGTGCTTGGTATTATACTCACTCCAAGATTGTTTTCCTTGAGTGAGGTTTGAAGTCTTTGGCCCCCTAGCCTTTGACCTTCCTCAATCTTCATGACTTTGTACTTGGTGCGGTTCAACTCCAGGAGCCAGTTGTTGGATCAGGCTTGCAGCGCCTGGGGGGGGATGTGGAAGGCATTCAGGCTTAATTCGGGGAACTGGAGCACAGATCCAATTCCCTAAATCAAGAGCCCCTCACCAACATCAAGGAACCTTCCTTGAGGGGCCCGCTCGTCACAGTCGCCCAATATGACGCTTCGTCGCGTACCATCGCTCGTTTCCTTTCTGTCAGGTATTTTCTGATCCACTGCGATGCCTTTCCTGTTATACCTGCCTGCTCCTCTAGCTTTTGCATTAATCTCTTGTGTGGAACTGTGTCGAAAGTCTTCTTACAATCCAAGAAAATGCAGTCTACCCACCCATCTCTCTACTGCCTTCTGTTACCTTGTCGTAAAACTCCAGTAGGTTTGTGACACAGGATTTCCCCTCCCTAGAACTGTGCTGGTTATCGATAATTCTTTTCTAGCTGCTCCATCAGTCTTCCTGATAAACTTCTCCATGACTTTGCAGTGAGAGAGAGAGAGAGAGAGAGAAGAGAGAGAGAGAGAGACAGACAGACAGAGACAGGGTGAGAGTGAGAGTGTGTGTGTGTGTATGTGAGTGAGAGGACACAGGAAGACTACGAAAAAAGAGCATGGGCAAATTTTAATTGAATTTAGCCGAGGCAGTGAACAGGCGTCCACCAGTAACAGGATGGAGCATTGTTGTTGTAGCGTTGCTGTGGAAACCAGCATCAGCACTCTCTGATACAATATATATCTTTATTGAGATATCTGCTTTGAGTACCATGCAAATACTTCAATAATACCGCCATCGCCACCACCACCCTCCTGGCGTTTCAGATACCACACCTGTAGCAGCAACACACTACCATCTCCTTCTCTCCGACCACACATGCATTATTATTATTATTACTATTCTTAAAAGGGAAGGCTGGACCCGAATGATTTTTTTCCTTGAAGTTATAACGGGTGAGGTGATGGAGTTAGAGAGGCGATACACAGTTTACGAGGGATTTTGTATATTCATGGAGAAGTGTTAGAACTGTTGGGGTCATACAGTTCTTGGGAATGGATAAAGGTAATCAGGCTTCATCCGAGAAAATGAAAAAGTAACTCCAGTTCCTTGGATCAAGAGCATCTAGGCTTCCCACCACTGAAGGGTACCATGACTATTTAGGTCGTGATAATATGTGTAAACATACGAATGAGACCATTTATATTATTATTATAATAAAGAAACGCTAAACCTACAAGGGTCATACAGCAAGAGAGACCATTTATATCATGGTATTTGTAAAAAGATAAATGAGAAAGACCCTTTATGTTATGGTACCATCAGCAAGACCAGAGAGAGACCATTTAGGTCAAGGTACCATATATGAACAGACCAGTGAGACCATATAGGTTATGGTACCATGTGTAGCCAGACCGCTAAGACCAATGAGGTCATGGTGCCATTTGTAAAGCTAGCAGTGATAGGGACAGTTCAGGTCCTGAGATAAAAGCTGTGTCTGTAACTCGGCAGTTGCATGAGGGGTGTCAAGGAAGACTTAACTCACTTGAGCTCAGGGGTAGATATTGTGACTGGTGGGCCACGTCATCACCTCAACCAGCTTAGATAATCTTAACAAGTCACACAAAACCAGCTGAGATAAGCTTCGTGGCCCACCCACTTTTGTCCTTTTAAAATCGTAAAATGTTTAACAATATCTGAGATTCATATCTTCCATTTGTACATAGGAAAGACTAAGGTACATTGTTGATATCTTTATAACAATGGTATACATTACTATTATTATTAGCATAACGAAGCGCTAAACCCTTAAGGGTCATACAGCGGTGCAGGGTAGGGTGTGTTAAGGTCAGAGACCAGTGAGGGGTGGAGAGTATAACAGAGGCAGAGTTAGTAAGGTCAGGAGTGCTAAACTGTATTATTATTATTATTTAAATAACGATACAGAATACGGTCAATAGATGGGTCAGACATGTGTGATACTGGGTTATCTTTATTGACGATCACTACAACTATCAGTGTTGCACACTCGCCTTATTCGTATGCATTATTGATATTTAATAAAGAAGGTTTGAAGAACAGCACATTGAGTGGACATTTATTTAGTAAAAAAATTTTTCATATTCGTGAGAAAGTGAGAATCCCACTTTATAAAAATATTGTAAACCTTAATATTCACCTATAGCATACAATAAATAGCCTAAGTGAAAATAAATTATTTTTTTTTCTCAGTGAAAAAAGCAGCTCATTAGTAAATTTTTTGCGCATTTTTTTTTTTTTCGAAATGTTGAAAATATGAGTTCTTTCAATGGGAGGAATGACAGCGTTAAACTTGAAGTTCGGCGTTGTAGTGTTCAGTACTGCACCAGTGTAGTCATCGTTGTAGTGTTCAGTACTGCACCAGTGTAGTCATCGTTGTAGTGTTCAGTACTGCTCCAGTGTAGTCATCGTTGTAGTGTTCAGTACTGCACCAGTGTAGTCATCGTTGTAGTGTTCAGTACTGCACCAGTGTAGTCATCGTTGTAGTGTTCAGTACTGCTCCAGTGTAGTCATCGTTGTAGTGTTCAGTACTGCACCAGTGTAGTCATCGTTGTAGTGTTCAGTACTGCACCAGTGTAGTCATCGTTGTAGTGTTCAGTACTGCACCAGTGTAGTCATCGTTGTAGTGTTCAGTACTGCACCAGTGTAGTCATCGTTGTAGTGTTCAGTACTGCTCCAGTGTAGTCATCGTTGTAGTGTTCAGTACTGCACCAGTGTAGTCATCGTTGTAGTGTTCAGTACTGCACCAGTGTAGTCATCGTTGTAGTGTTCAGTACTGCACCAGTGTAGTCATCGTTGTAGTGTTCAGTACTGCACCAGTGTAGTCATCGTTGTAGTGTTCAGTACTGCACCAGTGTAGTCATCGGTGTAGTGTTCAGTACTGCACCAGTGTAGTCATCGTTGTAGTGTTCAGTACTGCACCAGTGTAGTCATCGTTGTAGTGTTCAGTACTGCTCCAGTGTAGTCATCGTTGTAGTGTTCAGTACTGCACCAGTGTAGTCATCGTTGTAGTGTTCAGTACTGCTCCAGTGTAGTCATCGTTGTAGTGTTCAGTACTGCACCAGTGTAGTCATCGTTGTAGTGTTCAGTACTGCTCCAGTGTAGTCATCGTTGTAGTGTTCAGTACTGCACCAGTGTAGTCATCGTTGTAGTGTTCAGTACTGCACCAGTGTAGTCATCGTTGTAGTGTTCAGTACTGCTCCAGTGTAGTCATCGTTGTAGTGTTCAGTACTGCACCAGTGTAGTCATCGTTGTAGTGTTCAGTACTGCTCCAGTGTAGTCATCGTTGTAGTGTTCAGTACTGCACCAGTGTAGTCATCGTTGTAGTGTTCAGTACTGCTCCAGTGTAGTCATCGTTGTAGTGTTCAGTACTGCTCCAGTGTAGTCATCGTTGTAGTGTTCAGTACTGCTCCAGTGTAGTCATCGTTGTAGTGTTCAGTACTGCACCAGTGTAGTCATCGTTGTAGTGTTCAGTACTGCACCAGTGTAGTCATCGTTGTAGTGTTCAGTACTGCACCAGTGTAGTCATCGTTGTAGTGTTCAGTACTGCACCAGTGTAGTCATCGTTGTAGTGTTCAGTACTGCTCCAGTGTAGTCATCGTTGTAGTGTTCAGTACTGCACCAGTGTAGTCATCGTTGTAGTGTTCAGTACTGCACCAGTGTAGTCATCGTTGTAGTGTTCAGTACTGCTCCAGTGTAGTCATCGTTGTAGTGTTCAGTACTGCACCAGTGTAGTCATCGTTGTAGTGTTCAGTACTGCACCAGTGTAGTCATCGTTGTAGTGTTCAGTACTGCACCAGTGTAGTCATCGTTGTAGTGTTCAGTACTGCACCAGTGTAGTCATCGTTGTAGTGTTCAGTACTGCTCCAGTGTAGTCATCGTTGTAGTGTTCAGTACTGCACCAGTGTAGTCATCGTTGTAGTGTTCAGTACTGCTCCAGTGTAGTCATCGTTGTAGTGTTCAGTACTGCTCCAGTGTAGTCATCGTTGTAGTGTTCAGTACTGCACCAGTGTAGTCATCGTTGTAGTGTTCAGTACTGCTCCAGTGTAGTCATCGTTGTAGTGTTCAGTACTGCACCAGTGTAGTCATCGTTGTAGTGTTCAGTACTGCACCAGTGTAGTCATCGTTGTAGTGTTCAGTACTGCACCAGTGTAGTCATCGTTGTAGTGTTCAGTACTGCTCCAGTGTAGTCATCGTTGTAGTGTTCAGTACTGCACCAGTGTAGTCATCGTTGTAGTGTTCAGTACTGCACCAGTGTAGTCATCGTTGTAGTGTTCAGTACTGCTCCAGTGTAGTCATCGTTGTAGTGTTCAGTACTGCACCAGTGTAGTCATCGTTGTAGTGTTCAGTACTGCACCAGTGTAGTCATCGTTGTAGTGTTCAGTACTGCAACAGTGTAGTCATCGTTGTAGTGTTCAGTACTGCACCAGTGTAGTCATCGTTGTAGTGTTCAGTACTGCACCAGTGTAGTCATCGTTGTAGTGTTCAGTACTGCACCAGTGTAGTCATCGTTGTAGTGTTCAGTACTGCACCAGTGTAGTCATCGTTGTAGTGTTCAGTACTGCTCCAGTGTAGTCATCGTTGTAGTGTTCAGTACTGCTCCAGTGTAGTCATCGTTGTAGTGTTCAGTACTGCACCAGTGTAGTCATCGTTGTAGTGTTCAGTACTGCACCAGTGTAGTCATCGTTGTAGTGTTCAGTACTGCTCCAGGGTAGTCATCATCGTTGCAGTGTTCAGTACTGCTCCAGGGTAGTCATCGTTGCAGTGCTCGGTACTCTCCAGGGTAGTCATCGTTGCAGTGCTCGGTACTCTCAGGTAGTCATCGTTGCAGTGCTCAGTACTGCTCCAGGGTAGTCATCGTTGCAGTGTTCAGTACTGCTCCAGGGTAGTCATCGTTGCAGTGCTCGGTACTCTCAGGGTAGTCATCGTTGCAGTGCTCGGTACTCTCAGGGTAGTCATCGTTGCAGTGCTCAGTACTGCTCCAGGGTAGTCATCGTTGCAGTGCTCAGTACTCTCCAGGGTAGTCATCGTTGCAGTGCTCAGTACTCTCCAGGGTAGTCATCGTTGCAGTGCTCAGTACTCTCCAGGGTAGTCATCGTTGCAGTGCTCAGTACTCTCAGGGTAGTCATCGTTGCAGTGCTTAGTACTCTCCAGGGTGGCCATCAATGTACATGTGTGTTGATCCCGTCAATACAAATATTCTTCGAACACGAATCTCGAATTTTTGAAATGCAAAATTGTTAGATAGAACTTCAATTACTTTAAAAGGAATGAATCACAGTGCAGATCAGTGAGGTGGAGTCGCATATTAACTGCGACTTTATCAACAACCGCGGAGACAGGAGAAGCAACTGTGGATATGTCACGTTCCATCATTTTAGAATCTTGGAATAAATGAGTAAAACGGCAAGTCAAGCAGTAAGAAAGAAAACTATGGTTTTCATTACAAACAATAATCTGTAATAGAGCTGAAAATTGAGTTAACTGCTTTTGTGTGAGGCGCTGAGGTTCCGTCTTCCGCAAGGACTCAAGCCTCTGAGCTCTCAGACAAGACTGCAGAGTATAGCAGCGACTCTGCTCTAAGAAAGGCTCTACTTAGTTTTCTACCTGACCAGATAAAAGAAGTAATTTTTGTTAAAAATGGTTTGATACCGTAATGTAACTCATGTGCAAAGGATCCTTTTTCTTAAATTTTGGGAATAAATTTGTTCATATGACCCATACCCTAATCCTGGGTCAAAAGTAAACAAAGAAACCAAAAGAGGAAAGAAAGGGAAATTAGCCGGCTATCAATCTTGGGGTTGAGGGGGAGGGGGGGCACGAGTACTGAAGGTACGAAGACTGGCTCACAGATGGCGCTGACATACTCACCTCAGCAGGTGAGGGGCAACCATAATAAACTATTGAAATCACGCAACAATACACACCTAATGTTATCGGGAATGTTCAGTTGAGGGTGTTGGCAGGTCTTGCTGGTGGGACTCCAACACTCGCTCTTGGTTACTACATAATCAAATCAAAATGAATTCTTTGTTGAATTAGTGAACCAGATATGATCCGCTGGTCGTGTTTCGTCCGCTCTTGGTCTAGGTGATCTATGACCCCTTCGAGTTTAGACCTTTCCCATAATCAATAATAAAATCTCAAGTGTGGATTCAATATTTTTAAGATAATAAAGACTGTGAAGTAATATAATGATAGTGAGTGTACTATAGCACATGTACACACTGACAGTGCTCCAGTACCGCTTCATGTATGCTCGCGCGCGCGCACACACACACACACACACACACACACACACACACACACACACACACACACACACACACACGTGTAGACAAAATTCAGTGCCTGGATGCTGGCAAAGGGCTCTTGATCCAAGGAATTAAAGTTATCTTCACCTGCCTGGGATCAAAGCTAATTACTTACCATTCCTCATGCACTGTATGAACCCTACGGGTTTAGCGCTCCTACGACTATAATAATAACACTGATGACTGGCACTAATCAGCGTGTTAACAGTAATACAAATCAGTAATTATTATTATAGTAAGGATAACTGCTAAACTCGTAGGGTTATAGCGCCGAGGTAATAAGAGGCAATCAGGTTCGATCCAAGGAAATAATCTGAGAACTGCTGAAAACGGTAATAAAGCATTACTCGATTATTGTTATTATTATTATTATTATTCAGAGAGCACTAAATCAGATGGATCACAGAGAAACATTCCCTTAACTCTTTGTTGACCAAGAATTTTTTTTTTACTCATCAATTTTCCAGACTTAGAAGCTGTAATCTTACATCACATCATTTCATAGCCCAGCCTTAAGTTATACTACCACAACATCGACTGAGAGCCACAACAGTCGACTAACACTCAGGTATCTGCTTACTGCTAGGTGAACAGAGGCAGGAAACATACCCAACGTTTCCACCCGTGCCGGGGACTGAACCACGTACATTTAGTATATGAGCTCAGTGCGCTAGTATGTTATAGTTTGGCACATTCTAAAACCTGTTTACTCTTAGGACTTTTGCTGTAACTTTTCATAGTTTCTTTGTTATGTCTGACTGTGAGTCTAAACAGTCATTACTGTTACTATTACTTAGGAGGGTTTGTGAACCACCCTCTTCTAAGTCTAGAACGACACAACTTCAATATTTCAATTCCTCACTCCACTTGGGAAGGAGTTGGGACTTTTTGATTCGTTACTTTTGGATGACGAGGAGTTTTCCATATTGGATAGAGGTCATGTCAAAAATTCCAAGAGCCCTTGAAAGCCTCTTAAAAGGCCTTAAAAAATGTAACATTTATAATATTACTTGCGCAACAAAGAATACATCCTCGACTGCAACAAAAGTACATCGACTAAATTCATCACAGATATATACAATATTTGTACACTCATACGAACTGTTCATTCATTTCATTAAGAAAATAGCGTAAGTTTATTGTAATATATACAGTACTTAAATATCCATAAAATAAAAGATGAAGATGTTGTGGACAACAACACATGACAGGGATCGCACACAGCGCCTTGCAGGTTTTAATCAAAAGTTTGCATATCCCTGCTTAATACATGGTTCCCCAGATACCACCTTCTTATTGTACATGTTTCACCGGCTGCCGTCTCGTTAGTTCATGTTCTACTGGCTGCCACCTTGGTAGTTCATGTTCTGCTGTCTGTCACCTTGGTAGTTCATGTTCTACTGGCTGTCACCTTGGTAGTTCATGTTCTACTGGCTGTCACCTTGGTAGTTCATGTTCTACTGGCTGTCACCTTGGTAGTTCATGTTCTACTGGCTGTCACCTTGGTAGTTCATGTTCTACTGGCTGTCACCTTGGTAGTTCATGTTCTACTGGCTGTCACCTTGGTAGTTCATGTTCTACTGGCTGTCACCTTGGTAGTTCATGTTCTACTGGCTGTCACCTTGGTAGTTCATGTTCTACTGTCTCCCATCTCGTTAATTCATGTTCTACTGGCTGCCACCTCGTTAGTTCATGTTCTACTGGCTCCCACCTCGTTAGTTCGTGTTCTACTGGCTGCCACCTCGTTAGTTCATGTTCTACTGGCTCCCACCTCGTTAGTTCGTGTCCTACTGGTTGCCACCTCGTTAATTTGTTCCACTCATGATGTTATTATTGATAAAGCGTCAAGGGTTGAGATCCTCCATGCAATGGAGACTCTGTTGATTATCAGATTATCTAATGGTGGAGACTTGATTATTAGAAGATTATCCCTTCTGGTGGAAACTTGATTATCAGGAGATTATCCCTCCTGGTGGAGACTTATCAGAAGATTATCCCTCTCGGTGGAGACTTCGTTTATTATTAGAAGGTTATTCCTTCTTTCCACACCGACTTGGTTGATTTTTTCAGATGCATCCCGCGTGATGGAATATAACAGGTAAACAAAGCTGGTGTTCCCACTGCGTAACTCATACAGAGTTGTGTAGCAGCGCACTGATGACGGATCCAGTTTTGTTAAATACAAATAATTATTCTTTCCACGGAAAATAGTGAAAGGATAGTTATGCCAAGTTTTGATATGTGAGATTGTTGTTTGTTAATAAAAAAAATTGTCGAACCTTGTTCAGATTCAAGAAATATTGAAAAACTTGCTTTACCTGAGAATCTGCATATCTCTGTCACTGTTCGTGGAGGTAATGAATATTCACGTTACCCCTGGGGGAGGTGTTGTTTCTTCATGTTACCCCCCTGGGGGAGGTGGTGTATCTTCATGTTACCCCGTGGGGGAGGTGTATCTTCACGTTACCCCCTGGGGGGAGGTGTTGTATCTTTATGTTACACCCTGGGGAGGTGGTGTATCCATGTTACTGCTGGGGGAGGTGTTGTATTTTCAGGTTACCCCTGGGGGAGTGATGAATATTCACGTTACCCCTGGGAGAGGTGTTGCATCTACAAGTTAGTCTACTTTTCTGTGTTTGGGAGAGAATGCAAAACGTGTTTTTGTAAAAAAAATTGTATATGATATACCATATAGGACTTTTAGTGTTGTTTACTTTCTTGTTTATTAAGGACTGAAGCCTTGATCCTTATTTAATAAGGACTTTAGTAGTCTTGATCCTTGTTTAATAAGGACTGAAGCTTGATCCTTGTTAGGCGAAAGCTTAATATCTTAAAATAATGTGAAGCCTTGGTGGTTGTGGTGAAGACTTGTGTTTAGTCGACTTAATGTGTAAAAGTGTACAAACTCGCCCAGAATTGCTCTAAGAGACCGGGAAGTGCTCTATGGACCCTGAAGTGTGCTAATTGGTTCGTACGGGTTTGGAAGTGCATTAGTCTGTTCGGAAGTGCACTATCCGGTCTGGAAGTACTGTAAATGGTCTGGAAATAAGCATGGGATAGGAGACACGACTGCTGGGCAGTAGACAACTATAGGTTGTCTATGGGTCTGGAAGATATAGCTTGTCAGGTCACAAGGTGAATGCTCAGGTTACCAGGTGAGGCACTTGGTTGGGTCAGCAGGTGAGGCACTTGATTAGGTTACCTGGTGAGACTCGTAGGTCACCAGGTGAGGCTTTTAATCAGGCTAACAGGTGCAGTGCGTGGTCAAGTCATCAGGTACGGCATTTGGTCAGATCCCCAGATGAGGAAGGATAGATGAAGGGGTGAGGCAGTATAGATCAACAGGTGAGGCAGGGCAGTAGGTAGTCCTCGGGGGTACCAGCCACCAGTCCTCGACCTTGCTGCCGGATATAAAGGCAGGTGACGTGGGTCTTGTGCAAGAGAGACCGTCGGCTGGAGAGGAAGGCATTGACCTGGGACACCTGGTACCTGTGTGTGGGACCTGGCTGCACCACAGCCAGACGTACCCTGCTGGAAAACACACACATACACATACAGATTAGAATGTAACCAACAAGGTACACTATTTGCAATTAAATTGCAACAGTTGAACGACTCAGCGGTCACTTCTGCTGTGGCACACCGTAGGGCGTTTAACTATTCTACTTTTAAATGTCATAGTGCCAGCACCACTAAAAGGGAATTAGACACGTGTGCTGCACCTTGGTGAATCTTTTAGATTTATCAACACTAAGGTAGTGAACACTTCTGCCAGGCTGGGGCATCAGTTACCTCATTTATTATGTATAGTTTTGCAAGGCTGAGTACATCATCATCTACTATCTTCGTATATCTTTGTACTGAGTTGAAAAATTCACTGGTTGGCAAAAATCTTTAAATAAAGATACCCAAGTGTTGCACACGTGTCTAATTCTTCATTATTTCGGTATCGTATACCAAATTTTTATTGATACCAGTAAACTGGTCATCTTCTGACACAGACCCGTGTTAGAGCTCTTTTACTAACAAAAACTACACATACATTTAAGAAAAACTCAATCTAATTAAACAACTATACTGGTAATGCAGCGGTGTTGGGTGTGCAGCTCTAGCATTACGTTGAGTGTATTTTTATATAAAAAATTGCATGCATTTATTGTTATCTGATATTATGCATCTTGATCAATCACAGTATATATTTGTGGTAATAATGCGCCGAAGAAAAGTAAAGCAAGAGAAATGAGATTTCGCATTTCTTCTTTACAGCTCTGTCGAAATTAGTTGTTAGCATTTCCGAGGATTATTAAGTTTTCGTTCTCCAAACTGATAATCTTATTTGTCTTCTATGTGCGTATTTGTTTCTCTCTCTCTCTCTCTCTCTCTCTCTCTCTCTCTCTCTCTCTCTCTCTCTCTCTCTCTCTCTCTCTCTCTCTCTCTCTCTCTCTCTCTCTCTCTCTATCACTGTCAGTATTCATGGTCAACTCACTTATCTGCAGTGGGTGTGTTGTCGGAGGTGTTTGTGCTGCTGGAGCTGAGGTCTACCGTTCCCACAGTCTTGTAGGCGAACTGACCTGAGGACAAAACATATGTTTAGGTGTATGTTCAGTGATGGGAAATGTGTGCGCTAAAGTCTGTTATAAACTCAGCTTGAATCTAGTGTGTGTTTGTGTGTGTTCATTCACGACATTATTGAAGCACGCTGAAAAATCTCATTCACATCAGATAAGTGACGGAAGATTAATAAGAAATTAGCGGAAAGTAAGAGAGTGAGCGAGGACCAACAACGAGACATGACATGAGGGCCAACGAGACATGACATGAGGACCAACAACGAGACATGACATGAGGACCAACAACGAGACATGACATGAGGACCAACAACGAGACATGACATGAGGACCAATAACGAGACATGACATGAGGACCAACAACGAGACATGACATGAGGACCAACAACGAGACATGACATGAGGACCAACAACGAGACATGAAATGAGACATGACATGAGGACCAACAACGAGACATGACATGAGGACCAACAACGAGACATGACATGAGGATCAACGAGACATGACATGAGGACCAACAACGAGACATAAAATGAGATGACATTAGGACCAACAATGAGACATGACATGAGGACCAACAACGAGACATGAAATGAGACATGACATGAGGACCAGCAACGAGACATAAAATGAGACATGACATGAGGACCAACAACGAGACATGAAATGAGACATGACATGAGGACCAACAACGAGACATGACATGAGGACCAACAACGAGACATGAAATGAGACATGAGGACCAACAACGAGACATGAACAATGAATGGCCCAAACAACGAGACATAAAATGAGATGACATGAGGACCAACAACGAGACATGACATGAGGATCAACAACGAGACATGAAGAAGGTTAGACTCAGTATCTATAGACTTCAAGAAGACTTCTGGCACTCATAAGGAACGCCGCTTCATAAATTATGTGAGTAGGCCAAAGTAAGAAAGATACCACATCACAATAAAGGAGTTCCTGAGATTGGAGCTATCCACCCTTTGTATCAATCCTCTTAACCTTCTCTTCCCCATGCGCTGTCTAATTTACACGGTAGAGCACTTCCCGGTGAATAATATACATCTTGGTGAACGAACATAGCCCGTGGGGTTCATCAATGACACATTCTGTGAGGCATTATATTCTTGGTGTAGTTCAATGACCTACGGGGGAAAAGAAAACAATATCCATCGATGTTCGCAGTTGATGCGTGAATGAGATTAGGACAAACGTAAGAAAACTTCAAGGGAAATTGAAGAAGATCTGGAAAGGTTGCAGAAATACTAGAAAATGGTGGTTAGAATTCACCCCCAGTAAACACAAAGCAAATATATCATCTGGTGGAGTGAAAATGAGACAAACAGATCTTTTTATAACTTGGTAAACCCACTGTGTGGACGAAACTCTGTCAATTAAGGATTTCATTATACTGCATCTGTCTCATTTTTCCCCCTTTGTGTTGTTTTTATACCATTTCTTTCCATGAGGTGGATCATTACACATGATGTACAACTCAGTGAATCCAGTAATAAAGAGCGTTCCCAGAAACGTAGACGTCTAATTAGGCCCTGCGTGTGCCAGGCTGGTCAAAACAAAAAAACTTTAGAAACCTAAACAAATATTCTTAGAGAACACAGCACCTGCCACAAACCCTCTCCTAAAAAGAATCTACATAAAACAGAAAAGTTTAATTGCCTTCACGTCTAGTACAAGAACTGAAGAGCTACGAAGAGAGTTAAAGCTAGACCTCACCACGCTGCGGTAATACCACAAGATAATACTAGATACTAAGAAATAATGCAAGGTAATACAAGAGGTAATAGACAGAGTAACAGCAGGGTAACAGAGGTACTAGACAATAACAGCAAGGTAACAGAGGTACTAGACAGAGTAACAGCAGGGTAACAGAGGTACTAGACAATAACAGCAAGGTAACAGAGGTACTAGACAGAGTAACAGCAGGTAACAGAGGTACTAGACAAATAACAGCAAGGTAACAGAGGTACTAGACAGAGTAACAGCAGGGTAACAGAGGTACTAGACAATAACAGCAAGGTAACAGAGGTACTAGACAGAGTAACAGCAAGGTAACTGAGGCACTAGACAAAGTAACAGCAAGGTAACAGAGGTACTAGACAGAGTAACAGCAAGGTAACAGAGGTACTAGACAGAGTAACAGCGGGGTAACAGAGGCACTAGACAATAACAGCAGGTAACAGAGTACTAGACAAGTAACAGCAAGTACTGAGGCACTAGACAATACACAAGTGTACAAAGTACTGACGATAACACAAGTAATGAGTACTAACAGAGTAACACAAGTAATGAGGTACTAGACAAGTCAACAGCAAGGGGAACTGAGGTAACTACTGATACAGCAAGGTAATGAGGTACTAACAGAGTATAACAGCAAGGTACCGAGGTACAGCAGATTACAGCAAGGTAACTGAGGTACTAACAGAGTAACAGCAGTACTGAGGTACTAACAGTTAACAGCAAGTAAACTGAGGTAATAGACAGAGTAACAGCAGGTAACTGAGGTACTAGACAGAGTAACAGCAAGGTAACTGAGGTACTAGACAAAGTATATGAAATGTTTATTATGGCGAACCAGCACGAGACGACATGAATGTAGTGATGTACTGTCAGTGTCACAGTCTCGGAAAAAATACATCAACACACACACAGTATGTATATAAGCTTCACGGAATGACTTATGCTGGTGAAGCTCTTTGATCCGAGGAGGTGGGGCTACTCTTCGGATATAATCAAATTACCTCCTATTCCCTGGTACTGTATGATCCTTACGAGTTTAGCTCTTCCCTGTTTATAAGCAATAATAATAATAATAATATATTCAAACATGTCGTGTTGCCTGCAATGGCTCATGTCTCCCTCACGTTACTTCCCTCGGCTCGGTGTTCTGAATATTTTAATATTTCCCGGCTAACAAATGTTTTTGGGGTTGCAAGGCTGTCATCTACAACATCCAGAGCTCTCCGACCTTTTCATGTGACAGCCTCTTGTCTGGTGCTCACTTCATATTACCACAGAGGTATTGACCTACCTGACAGGTGTTACCTGGGTGCTCATTCTCCATATTACTGTAGAGCAGAGATTCTTGACCTATCTACAGCCATTTACCACCGAGGCTCAATGTCATTAGCCACTTACTCTCACTCTCCATAATAACGCATAACATAAACCTATGACATAAAGGAACACAAAATGAAGAGAGAGAAAAACACATTTAATACCATGGTATTGTACACGATACACTTTAATCAAGGAAGAAAACATTTATATCAATCATTATCATATAAAAACACTAACAATAATATCATTTGGAACGCTGCTGCTGCATTGCTTCGGTTTGTTTAGTTGAGAAACTCTTTTGATGACAACATTACTCGCTTGTCTGCTTTCAGAGGTTTTTGGCTTTTGTCGTTATCATTAATAATGCTGGTAACCTAGATTCACATAGGTATGTGGTAACAAAATGAACGAGCAATTTGACGGCATGATGAGTCAGGAGGCGGGAATGAATCAGTGAGCTTTGTCTAAAAATCCACACCAACTAACTTTCAGATTATTTTTTTTTTCAGATAAGCAGATGTTTGTAAACCGATCAGTTGTTCTTTCGCTGTCTTTATCATTAATTTCAGACCGATCAGTGATATATGATCTTAACATCTAGCTTTCTATGGAAATCTTGTCTGTTGAAAAATAGCCAATCAAATAATCCTTCAAGATTTTCAAATGTGCAGTGACGTCTTCAGTTATCTCTAGTAGCAGGTTAAGTTCTTCACTAATGACCTCATCCAAGTTTGCAAAATTACGTTGACGAACTTGTCGTACACATTTTCAGCTTGGTCTGAAATCCTTTCACCGTTTCACCTACTTCAGCAATGGTTACCGATTTGCCCTGTTGAGTTGGTTGAGAAAGCCCAATATATCCGAAAGGTATCCTAAACAGGCAATGAACCCGGGATCGACAAAGCTCTCATATAGCTTCTAATGCTGGTCATGAAGAAAAATCTTCACCTCGGTATGGAACTCAAATACACGTTTAAGAAAAAAGCCCACGTGAACGCCACCTACCTCAGTAAGAAGTAAGAGAATCTAGTATTCAAATATGTAATAAAAAGCTTTGAGCAAGTGGTGATGCAGTGCTCATGCACGAATGAAATTTACAACCTCGGTACTTTCTGCAAAATCATATACAGGTTCGCAGGAAGGGTTTTTGCAGCTATTGCATGTCTGTGAACACACTAAGATGTGTAGATGAATGGTTCAGAGAACCGACATGTTGATAAATTAGACACATGTGCAACTCTTGGGTATCTTTATTGTGGAAACGTTTCGCCACACAGTGGCTTCATCAGTCCGTACGTAGGAGAAACTTGAAGAACAGGAGGAGAATGAGGTAATCAGTCCCTCAACCTTGAGTCGATGTGTTCAGTCCATCAATCTTGAATAGAATGCGGCATATCAGCGGAGAGGCAGCTATAAACCGTATGGCAGGAGAGGTGCAGCAGTCATAGGTCGTGTCACATTTGTTCAATGTGGAAGTAGGTCGTGCCCAAGAATTAGGCAAGCGAAGAATTCCTAAGTATTAAGATCCCAAGAAGTTGCAGTGTCTGACAAGTGTCTGTCAGACACTGCAACTTCTTGGGATCTTAATACTTAGGAATTCTTCGCTTGCCTAATTCTTGGGCACGACCTACTTCCACATTGAACAAATGTGACACGACCTATGACTGCTGCACCTCTCCTGCCATACGGTTTATAGCTGCCTCTCCGCTGATATGCCGCATTCTATTCAAGATTGATGGACTGAACACATCGACTCAAGGTTGAGGGACTGATTACCTCATTCTCCTCCTGTTCTTCAAGTTTCTCCTACGTACGGACTGATGAAGCCACTGTGTGGCGAAACGTTTCCACAATAAAGATACCCAAGAGTTGCACATGTGTCTAATTTATCAACACTTAAGATGGTATTACAAAGGGTGCCCTTTCTTGTGCGATCTTTGTTGTACTAGGAGAAGACAACACAAGAAGTGTAAAATTTAGCAACTTAACAAAAGTCGTCAAGTTGCAAGAATTTTTTTGCTGGGCTAGATTTAATTTGCCCATTAATCTCCTAGTGAATATCTGGAGACATTTCCCTAATACGTCGATGACTTCACACAAGTCTTTTATTTCACAATTGTCAGTATTTTAAATCAACTCTTAACCAACGCCTTCCCGTAGTCATAATAATTCTAAGAATGTATCTTAGATGTTATTTTAGGTGCGTTACAAGTGGTGTTGCTGACGTACCAATAATCCCAGTGGTGTTGGGAGAGAGGACGCTGTGGTTCTCCAGGTAGAAGCCCAGGAAGTATTGTCCTCGCTTGTTCTTCGTGCGAGTCACCAGCAAGTTGGCTTCAACGTCACCCAAGAGCAAGTCCAACTTGCGGTGGTTCCTCAGTGCTACCACCACCTCCCCGTACCTGCAACACACACAACACTCAGTGCTACCACCACCTCCCCGTACCTACAACACACACAACACTCAGTGCTACCACCACCTCTCCGTACCTGCAACACACACACAACACTCAGTGCTACCACCACCTCCCCGTACCTGCAACGCACACAACACTCAGTGCTACCACCACCTCCCCGTACCTGCAACACACACAACACTCAGTGCTACCACCACCTCTCCGTACCTGCAACACACACAACACTCAGTGCTACCACCACCTCCCCGTACCTGAAACACACACAACACTCAGTGCTACCACCACCTCCCCGTACCTGTAACACACACAACACTCAGTGCTACCACCACCTCCCCGTACCTGAAACACACACAACACTCAGTGCTACCACCACCTCCCCGTACCTGCAACACACACAACACTCAGTGCTACCACCACCTCCCCGTACCTGCAACACACCCAACACTCAGTGCTATCACCACCTCCCCATACCTGCAACACACAACACTCAGTGCTACCACCACCTCCCAGTACCTGCAACACACACACACAACACTCAGTGCTACCACCACTTCCCTGTACCTGCAACACACACAACACTCAGTGCTACCACCACCTCCCAGTACCTGCAACACACACAACACTAGTGTTACCACCACTTCCCTGTACCTGCAACACACACAACACTCAGTGCTACTACCATCTCCCCGTACCTGTAACACTCAGTGCTACCACCCTCTCCCCGAACCTGCAACACACACAACACTCAGTGCTACCACCACCCCCGTACCTACAACACACACAACACTCAGTGCTACCACCATCTCCCCATACCTGCAACACACACAACTCAGTGCTACCACCACCTCCCCGTACCTGCAACACACAACACTCAGTGCTACCACCACCTCCCCGTACCTGCAACACACACAACACTCAGTGCTACCACCACCTCCCCATACCTGCAACACACACAACACTCAGTGCTACCACCACCTCCCGTACCTGCAACACACCACACACAACACTCAGTGCTACCACCACTTCCCTGTACCTGCAACACACACAACACTCAGTGCTACCACCACCTCCCAGTACCTGCAACACACACAACACTAGTGTTACCACCACTTCCCTGTACCTGCAACACACACAACACTCAGTGCTACCTACCATCTCCCCGTACCTGATAACACTCAGTGCTACCACCCTCTCCCCGAACCTGCAACACACAACACTCAGTGCTACCACCACTTCCCGTACCTGCAACACACACACACAACACTCAGTGCTACCACCACCTCTCCCAGTACCTGCAACACACACAACACTAGTGTTACCACCACTTCCCTGTACCTGCAACACACACAACACTCAGTGCTACTACCATCTCCCCGTACCTGTAACACTCAGTGCTACCACCCTCTCCCCGAACCTGCAACACACAACACTCAGTGCTACCACCTCCCAGTACCTGCAACACACACAACACTCAGTGCTACCACCATCTCCCCATACCTGCAACACACACAACTCAGTGCTACCACCACCTCCCCGTACCTGCAACACACAACACTCAGTGCTACCACCACCTCCCCGTACCTGCAACACACACACACACACCACTCAGTGCTATCACCAACCTCCCCTTTCTGCATTTAGCCTATTTTGTGTGTATAATACAAAGACATAATTGAAGAGTGACTAACAATGAAGAATGTCCAATATTCTGTAAAACATTGGCACATATTGGTCATTAATTAATACTTCATGACATTTATTCGTAGCATTTCTCAATTTCTCTCATTAAAGATTCTATACTGCATTGCTTAAATTAGATTTTGCTGACGAAGCGGCTAGTTTATTGTGCACTCCATATCCATCCTGTGGAGGATAGCGCAAGAACATATAGATACACAAAAGGTCTAGGAACTAGGCGCCAGAAGGGTTAACAGGAGCACATTTGGATTTATATCTACAGTTCAATTATCTGTTGCAAGCAAATTTAGGAAATTGGTTAAATATGTCTAGTATGTTATTATCATCAATAAGATATAAATCATACCACGGGCGGGGACAGAACCCAGTGGCTAACGCTTCGGTCTGGAGTTTTATGACTGACCACGGGTTCTATCCCCACCCGTGGCATGGTTTGTTTGCAATCGTGTCATTACGATTTCGTGAATCAATAAGATAGCCTGACTTATCACATAGGTTATTATACTGTCTATATACTCATCAGTAAGTGGACACTAAAGAACATAGTATTCAAGATAGTGACCATAGGGCTGGAAACATACTTTGCATTTGGTTTGATCATCATTTGTGTGTCTCCCAAATTGCTAGAAGTACTTGTAATCAAGCCTAAGCCTGGCCACTACAAAACTCAGTCTGTCCACATTTCAAATGTCTCCATAAACCTACTTATCTACGTTCATGTTATCATAGTGGGTTACAGATCTACTCAGACTTCTAGCTGTATTCCTATAACATTCAATTTCATTATTTACTTCTCTCCTAATATTTCTGATGGCTAGACACACACACCAAAGTTTTAGTTTACATTTACCTTCAGGGTACTTTTTTGGCTAAATTACGAAATTTATCATGGAGTACTCCAATATGTGATGGAATCCGTAGCAATTGTGCATTAATTCCATTTTCCCGGATTTTTTAGTATATATTCCTTCTCCAATGAATATGTTTTCAGTCATTATGTGAGTCAAGAGCCAACAGTGATGACAGAATCAATAATAATCATGAAGTCAAGCTTAGTGTCATACGCTAACTTTAACGCCATTAGGATGGCAACAATTCAATTTGCAGTGTAGATGCTCAGTTTTTAATTCTTATGCCTAACTCAATAAAGTTCTTATAGTTATACGTTGCATAGTCTTTGCAGAGTATAAGAATGTTTTATATGTTAAGTACTAAGAGAGCTGCTGAGGAAGTTCGCATAGTACTGGAATCTGATGCTTTTCTGTGAAGGCTTGCAAGAACCATGTGAGGTGTCTTACCTTCTCCCAGCTGCCTTCTTCCAGCTGAAGGTTTTGCTACACTCCCGAAGCAGCTGGTCCTCTTTCGTCTGGGCAGTCGTTCCTCCATGCATGGTGTGTCTTCCATCCGACAAAGGCGCCTCCGTAGCTTGGTCGTTGGATAGTGGAGTATCTTGGTCTTCAGAATGTATATTAGATGCGCTAAGATCATTGCTCAAGTCTCCTGGTCGCGATATTGTATTCTCTTGAAGGTTGTTGCCAGAGAATTCTAGTGAGGGTGGGTTAAGGTTGACTCTGGATTGTGGGTGAATGAAGCTTCTTGCCTGTGGATGGTATCTACGTGGTTGTTTAAGGTGCGACGTGTGGTGGGAGTTCAGGTGATTCCGAACAGAGTAATCACTTCGTTCTTCCTGACTCTGGCTCTCACTTTCTTGTACGGTTACAGAATTTTTAGAAACGAGTGGCTGGATGAGGTTTCCCACACTTAGGGGATGACGCTGTGGATGGATATGATTTCTGTGAGCGTGGGGGTGCATCTGGGGGCGTGGGTAGATGTGGGTACATTCACTGTGTGAATGGCGAGAGCCGTGTAAATTTTGTGTCAAAAGTGGGATGGAGTGAAGGCGACCTATACTGTTTATGTGCCGTCGTTGTCTTCTTCTGGTTATGTTAAAACGGTTATGGTTCATGTTGTGTTTCCTGGGACGTAGCCTCCGATACTTCAGTTTCCTCGATTTGGGTTGTGTGTTGGGCACGACCTGGCTGCTCCCAGACTGTGGGTTCTTAGTTTGGTTGTGTGAGCGTCGTCGCCTGGTCCTAAGCCGTTTCAGAGATTTCCTTTTCCCTTGGTGTTTCTTACCTCGCCGGCCACTTCGTTTCCTAAGATTCATTTTCTTGAATGGCCACAGCGATGTGGAGACGCTGTCCACCTGCCCACAAACAGAAACAATTATAGATAAATATATTGTGCATAAACAACACTGCAGTAGTTACTGCTTACCTTTGTGCTCGTTTGCAAGTGCAGGGCTAACCAGGTTACGGATATCTTTAAGAATTGATCTGAGAATCATCTCTGACACAAATCACATACAAGAACTAAAGGATGTGTTTGATAGTATCTTTTTGTGGCAGTAACTTCTTAATGCAGGTACAGTTATCTGTGAAGAGGGGCAGAGGTGAAAGAAGCACAGGGCTTGTCGTGCATAAGAAATAATATACATAGATGACATTAACACATCTTATAGTTCAGTAACGAGATGAGTACAGAATGGTTAAGAATGACTACCTTAAAATGTGGAGGGATGCAGAAAATACGAGTATGGCATAGGGACTCACCCTTCGGTTGGTAATAAAGTGATACAATATACAATATGTATGTGAGACAAGTGTACTAGTTATAGCACTTTATATATGAAGATATATCGTCCACCAGGGTCTTCGTGAGTTCACAGTAAGGTTATTAAATGTAATGTAGCACTCACCGTGAGGAGTAAGACAAACCCTGGGATTGAGACTTACCGTGGGATGGCCAGCGTCATTGAGACAGTCTACCAGTATACTGGTGGGTGTGATGGTGAAGTTGACGGAGCCCACTGAGATGAAGATCACAGTGAAGTAAGTAGCATCAGCTCGACCCAACGCAGCCTCAACCAACCCGTTCACCACGATCCCTGTGTGTGTGCTCACTACTAAACCTTACTTTTATTATTATTATTATTATTATTATTATTATTATTATTATTACTATTATAAAGAAACGCTAAAGCTGCAGAGACCATATAACACAGACAGTTTGACTCTATCTTGATGCGAGGAATAATAGTGGACATATGAACAGTTATTTGTAGGTTTTCTGTAAATTTTAAATTTGAATTCATTATTACCCTTAATAATTAAAACATCTAGAAAAGGCAATGAGTTATTTTCTTCAAACTCAACAGTAAAGTTAATAGAATGGGCTAAGCTATTTAATTTTCCAAGGAAATGGTGTATATCTACATTTTTGGGCATAAGACACAAAATATCATCAACATATCTGAACCATTTAGCTCTATTAGGGAGGATTGTGTTAAGCAACCTTGTTTCAAAAAATTCCATGTATAGGTTACTAAGAACAGGTGAAAGAGGATTTCCCATTGCCATACCAAACTTCTGAGTGGGAAAACTTATCATTAAATACAAATTTTGCATCAACAATGCAAAGTTTAATAAGTTTAATGATAGTAGGAACTGGCAATGGTAAATTAAGTTCCTTGACTGACTTAAATGATTTTAACATGGTTAGTTTTGATGTTACTTCCTTGTTTACGAAAGTTCCTGTTGATGATTTATTAAGTTTCTTATCTGAAGAACTCGTTAACTATGATTTACCATTGCCAGTTCCTACTATCATTAAACTTATTAAACTTTGCATTGTTGATGCAAAATTTGTATTTAATGATAAGTTTTAAACTTTACTGTTGAGTTTGAAGAAAATAACTCATTGCCTTTTCTAGATGTTTTAATTATTAAGGGTAATAATGAATTCAAATTTAAAATTTACAGAAAACCTACAAATAACTGTTCCTATGTCCACTATTATTCCTCGCATCAAGATAGAGTCAAACTGTCTTTTTTTTCTCAATGTTTTTGAGAGCTTTACGAATTTGTAGTCCTGAGTTCATAGATGAGGAAATATTCAAAATTTATGAAATAGGTAATGATTTAAAATACCCAAGAAATGTAATTGATAAATCTTTTAAAGTTGCTAGAAATACTTTTTACAATCCAAAAAGGGACAACCAGCCTTATTCAACTAAAAATATGTTGGTTCTCCCTTACCATGAAAACTTGGTTGATATGCCTTCTCTTCTTAAGACTTTTAATATTAAAGTTGTATTCAAAAATCTTGATACAGTAAAAAAGCTTTTGATAAAGAATTCCCCCCAAAATGCTGATGGATGTGTCTATAAGATTCCTTGTAAAATTTGCGATAAAGTTTATTACGGTCAAACTGGTAAAAATCTCGAACTAAGATTAAAACAACATAAATATAGCATTAGAACTGGACAAGATTCCAATGCTCTATTTATTCATGTAAGAGATTTTAACCATCCAATTGATTTTCAAAAAGTTGAGAAAGCAGTATCAAGCAAGTCCATGGTCGACAGGAATATAATTGAATCTTGTTTCATAAAAAGCAGTTTTGACAATAATATGAATATTTCCTTTGGTTTATATAAATTAGATCCATTTATAATTAATAGAATTTGGGAAGAATTTAATAATACACTGGACAAATAATAATTTTTAAATTTTCTGGGTAGAATAGTTTGTAGGTGAGTTGTGCAAGGGACCTATCCAAGTTGGGTCGGCGCGCGTCAGGTGTTAACCGTTGTGGGATCTGATAGTGAGGTGCTGGCCGGACCCCTTATATAGCTTCCTTGGATGCTTTACTTTCATAGTTCCTTGATAATGTGAGTAGTCACGAAAGCGCTTGGAATTTCTCTATTCTTTCAGAGTGGGGTTTTTTTGCATATTCTGAAATCACCTATATATATATATATATATATATATATATATATATATATATATATATATATATATATATATATATTATATTATATGAACATAAGAAAGAAGGAACACTGCAACAGGCCTACTGACCCATGCGGAGCAGGTCAGTAGGCCTGTTAATTATATATATATATATATATATATATATATATATATATAATATATATATATATATATTATATATATATATATATATTAACAAGTCGGCCGTCTCCCACCGAGGCAGGGTGACCCAAAAAGATAGAAAATCCCCAAAAAGAAAATACTTTCATCATCATTCAATACTTTCGCCTCACTCACATTTAATCACTGTTTTTGCAGAGGTGCTCAGAACACAACAATTTAGAAGTATATACATATAAAAATACACAATATATCCCTCCTAACTGCTAATATCCCGAACCCCTCCTTTAGAGTGCAGGCATTGTACTTCCCATTTCCAGGACTCAAGTCCGGTTATATAAAATAACCGGTGTCCCTGAATCCCTTCACTAAATATCACCTTTCTCACACTCCAACAGATCGTCAGGTCCCAAATACCATTCGTCTCCATTCACTCCTATCTAACACGCTCACGCACGCTTGCTGGAAGTCCAAACCCCTCGCCCACAACACTTCCTTTACCCCCTCCCTCCAACTTTTCGAGGACGACCTCTACCCCGTCTTCCTTCCCCTACAGATTTATACGCTCTCCAAGTCATTCTACTTTGATCCAATCTCTCTAAATGACCAAACCACCTCATACATACATACATACACACACACATATATATATATATATATATATATATATATATATTATATATATATATATTATATATATTATATATATATATATATATATATATATATATATATGTGTGTGTGTGGTGTGTGTGTATGTATAAAATAATAATTTCAACAGACCGGCCGTATCCCACCGAGGCAGGGTGGCCCAAAAAGCAAAAACGAAAGTTTCTTCTTTTAAATTTAGTAATATATACAGGATGAGTTACTAGCCACATTGTGACATCTCACCAGTGTTGCCACACCCTGTACACACCTCATTAAGAGGCGCGAGAGTTTCCCGGTCTTCTAATATCATGTTTATTTTTCCCCTATAATCTACCTTGTCAATAATTACTATCGCATTTACTTTGTCTGCTTTCCTAAGGTGAAGTCTAGGATCTTTCCTTAATTTATGGTATAACTTAACAAATCTTTGAGACTTATAATATACCTGAACCAGAGGTGAGGTGCAGCAGTTAGAGACGTAGTCACAAGTGGGCGGCGCCCACTAGCAGAAGTATGTCATGCCAAACAGCTGTATAAGATATCGTTGATATGAGGACACCATGAAGTGTCCCGTGACATGACTCACCAGACTGTGGATCACTAGACTTACCTGAGTGTGGATCACGGACAAGACTAAGTACATGGCCAGGGGAGCCGTGGATATCAAAGCAGAGAGGCAGGTGTAGCCCCGGCACCTGCACTACGAAGTGTGGATCATTGTCACCTGTAATGTTGCATCTTAAATATACTCTATGCTAATTTGTTAAATATTAT